ATTTATACTCGTATTGAATTAAAGCAATTTGTTAAAAACAGAGAACAATAAGGTACAAGAATTTGTTTAATAAATTAATAGTGGAAAATGAAATTATTTCGAACTAGGAAATTCAAAAATATCAATTATCAAGATACAAGAATTTAGAACATAAAATATAACAAGGAGAAATATGCGATACAATTCGTAACAATATAAATGTTCATATTCAAGAATTAATCTAATAAACCAAAGAAACCAAACCGATTGTTGTACTTAGAATTGCAGAATAAAATTTGGTTGTATTTGTACTTGATTACATTTGATGTCTCTGAACATTCGTTGATGCTTCTGCTTCTCAAATTTTGCTATTCTTTCAACGCTTGAATTGTGTTCCATAAGCATTTGAACACAATTTACAATTTCATAAAATAAATATTTTGAATTTCCGAATTTTGCACTAATTTTTTTTCAATTGAACAAATATTTAAGTAACGTATTTAATGATAAATGACATATATGTGTCATTGAAATGAAACAAGTAAATTACTTAATTGTTATAAAAAAGTTGTTAAAATTCTTAAGCAATATTTAGAAATTTTATGGAAATAATATAATTTAAATTGTTATAAACTGCAAAAAATGATTAAATAATATTTAGAAATATCAAAATATTAAATAAATGATTTAATTGTTAAATTATTAAAGAATGTTTAGAGATGTTATAGAAATAAAATATTTCAATTGTGATAAACAGATTACAAAAATTATTAAATAATATTTAGAAAAGATCAGATAAATAAATAAAATTAAAAATTATTAAAGAATGTCTAGTAATGTTGTAGAAATAAAATAATTATATAAATAATCTACAATAATAAATTATTATAACTAAACTTAAAACAAGAATTACTAAATAATATTTGAAATTATTAAAAAATTGAATTAGCAATTCAATAGTTGTTAGCAATAGTTGTTACACATAAATCATTAAAATTGTTGAATGATATATAGAAATGTTATAGAAATGTATTACGACTTTATAGTTATAAATTATTAATTAAGGAAAAAATTTTAATGAGTACTTAGAAATATTATAAAAGAGAATTATTTGTTTAATTGTTAGAACTAAATTATTAGAAATATAATGATGTAGAAATTGAATAATGTTTAAACAATTAAAATATTGAGAAATAATACTAAGAAGTTCAGTTTAAAAGTTTAATGGATATGTACTTGATGAAAGTATTTCAATTTATAGTGAGCTCGTCTTCTTAGTACAAAGTTGATTGTCCTTATTAATTCTTCAAAATATGATTTTTTTATTACAGTAATTAATAATTTGTTAATTCTTACGTTTTCATTGTAAATTTACAGCCTCGTTATATAATTATTTAAAGCAATAATATATTTCTATGTCTTTTGCAAACTAAAACTACATTTGTACTGTTAGTCTTTAATTTATAACTCTGTTGACATATATTACAAACGAGATATGTAAATAGATTTATAAAACTTAATCTTTCATGCTCTGAAATACTAACACAATAAAAAAATCAGTGGCTTTTTAGCGCATATTCTATACTTAAACAATGGTGAATTAAAGAATTAGGCAAGTAAATTAATATAATAATCCTAAAGTAAATATTTTTTATTTATTATATGGTAAATATTTTTACGCTAGTAAATATTTTTTATTTATTAAAAATTATTTTAAAATTAAATTTCTGTATTTCGTAATTACATTTTCTATATTTACAAAATTATACTCATCATACTCATAAAATGTGTAAATTGTAATATTAGCTATGAAATTTGTAAATAAAGAAACTGACTCTAGAGACATTTCTAAATATTAATAACCTTCAAAACAATATCTGGACTATTAAACAATAAAGGCAGAAGGAATTTACATTATTCACAAATTAATAAATAACAGCAATAATATTTGAGTTTTTTTACATTCTTCCTTTTTAATAATATTATTATTGAATTACTAAAGAGCGTTTATTATAAAGTTTTTCTACTTTAATAGATTTTATTAAAATTATTATTCTCTGTTTTATAGATTAAAAAAAATCTTTTTTATCGTTTAATAATATATTCCTAATTAAATAAATTTTAATGTATGTATACAAAATTATGAATTAATTCTGTGTAATAATTCTTACATAAGTTTAAACAATTGATTTAAACGCTATTATATTTCAAATTATATTTAAAATTAAATATAATTAATAAATAAATATAATCTAATACGTTCCGAATATGTGGTGCACGTAACATAAATAACAAAATATCAATTTTAAAATGCATTAAGATATTAAATATACTAAATCAGAATTTTAAATCAATTATAATAAAATCGATTTGAATTGTAATCGGTTATGATCAGTTAAAAACAACAGATTACTTTAATGAAAACTAGACTATGGATCCATCCATATGTTTACTTTCTCGTATTTCTTCTTTTTTTTTTTTAATTTTTCCAATATGTGTTTATAAAAAAATTCGCCTCTTGCTTGTTAATGTTACATTCAACAATTTCACATTTATCATGCTTGACTAAATTATGGTAGCGTAAGTTCTTTCCTTCTTCTTTCCTCTTTTTTTTTACATCGAAGTATTTCGCACCGGAGTATCTGAAAGTAGAGATATTTAGCATTTTATTTTTGTGATGTCTTCCGACGTGTCTTGGACGTTCCTACGTCGCGCGCATTCGAGTTCTTCTATATCTTATTTTCAAAA